GATTTTCAATTTAGGCAGGAATGCTTCTGTTCTGTTTGTTGAATGCGCGTGAGCCGGCTCCGTTGATGAAATGTGGCTCCCATCCACATGCCTCCCGGTCTTATTCCTTCGGGTTTACACTGGATATGGGGTGTGTGGATGGAGCTGTGGGTGGTGCAGCGCAAGCCACCCATGGTATCTCTGTAGGCACAGGCGTCCTGTGGCTGGCCACAGTGACAGGCAAATCTGGACAAGGATGCAGCCGATCCACATACCATCGAACTCCTTCGCAGGCAGCGATAACATATTGTTAAATGATCCTCAATAAGTAGGTTCAAAAAGCTATTCACACAACCTTATAATGGGTGAATTCAACATACCTTCCATAGTATCAGTATCTGATGGTAGATTACCATCCAAAGCAAAAGTTTTGTGTTCATGGTGTTCATAGCAGTTTAGTATAAGCACGTGTATCGACCAATCAGACAACGTGGTCCAAACAAGCCATCAGTTCTGGACTTGATTCCAACTAATGAGGAGTTGCCGGTTGAGTCAGCCGTATACGACCCTCCACTAGGCAGTAGCGACCATTCATTCCTAGCAGTTGGTTATGGATGTTATGTTAGGATGGAGAGAAATAAACGAGAAACTCAACCAACTATTACGGACACTTAGAAGCTTCATAGTCTAGCGACAACCATTATCTGGGTCTTCCAGCAGCAAAGTTCGGCGAATAACGTCTGTACTAAAGTAAAAGATAAACCTAACTGGGTCATACAAGCGGCCACGAAAGTTGTACGAGTATCGCACGGGATCAACGTTGGAATCCGAATTAGAATATAGAAATGGATCGGTAGAAGAGATGAAATTTGGAGACAACATGCACTAGGCACATGTGATAACTTAGGGCAAAATTACAGAACTATCAGAAACTACTGCACGTCGCGCATTGAGGCTGACAAGTACGAATAGCAACGGACCAAGTTACCCTAGTTTACGATTAACACCAAACGGTTTTACAGGTATATAAATGAGAAAAGTAAGCTTAAGCGTCGAATACTCCTACTCAAAACGGCCAGTGGCTTATCCACTGTCCCCTTTATTCCAGCAGCTGTCGCAAATAAATTAAAATACCTCAAATAAAACCGTACTCCGGGAATCCGTAAGATCTTTTCAAAGGCACTTAAGACACTTGCTTCAACCAAAGCAGTATATCTTGCAGCCATTTTTAGTGTTTACGTGCTTCCTGCACACCCATCTAAGTAGAAACATCGAAGCATCACACCGACATACAAAGTAGGTAAGCTATCGTATCTTGCTGATTACCCATCTATACCTCTCCTTCCTACTTTATACAAAGTGATGGCATCGATAATCACAGAAGAACTGACGCGATGGTTTGAAAGTCACCGCGTAATTTTCTATGTCTAACACGGTTTCGGATGCAGACGATCATATTACAGTAATCTACTTCTTGTTCAGAACTCATGTGATTTACTTATGTTTTTCTATGGTATTCGACAGAGTCAATCACTTAGTTCTCCTACGAAAACTTTGTGCGCAAGATATCAACTGTTCAATGCTCACTTGGCTGTTAAGTTAGCCATAGAACAACCAACTTAAAATATCTGATATTCACCCTAAAGCCTGTTCTTCTCCAGGGATGAACGGCAAAAATCCGTCCTTAGCCCGCTACTGCTTTTACTCAATGACCTGCAAGCAAACGTTCTTAACACAATGCAACTACTTGCAAATTATGCTATGATATGCGGAGCAACGCGCTCAACATCCGACCGTGCCTATATACAGAACGATCCGAACCTGAATAACAAATGGGCAAAATTGAACCAGTTTTCAATTAATCCCGCGAGTTGCTACTGCTGAAGGTGGGCAGCAACTTGATTAACTCACACCTTTGGGGCAACACGTCTTGCAACATCTGGTCAGTGAAAGAGACCTATGTATCATAGTATAAGAAAGGATGAACAATTCGTTCCATTATTTGAATGCAACCAATTTGGCGAACTTGTACTGGATGCTTTTGAGGCTAGCTCTCGGAATTTTTGAGCAAATGCTAGTACCCTTGCTGATTAATTCGTGTATTCTTCCCCACTTTGAATCTGCGGGTCAGACCTAACGTCAATGGTTAAAACGAAACATTCTTCGATTGGAACAGCCCAAAGAAGAACCACCAAGATAACCCGTGGACTATCCGGTCTCAGTTAGTAATTGCACCTTCGTTTACTTGATGTGTTCTCATCAGAATAACAACGGTATCACGAAGACCTCATTTTGACATACCGAATACTCCCTTAGATTCTGCGCTCACTGAATTGCACTGCAAACACATGTGAGCGACATCCGAAAGAATCACAACTAAGTGATAAACAATGCACGTCATCTAGACTAATGGGATTTCACGTTTCACGGCGAAACACTTCGCTAAGATTTTATTTACATTTAATAACCTGTAGATTTTGTAAGGCTACTGCTTTTTTCCCAACATACACTATTGCAATATTGAGCCGTTCGAAATTGGAGCCTTCAATTAGTACGCAGTTATTACTCAGTTAAAGTGGCAACTGAAGTCAGACAGTTGCACCTCAAACAACTGATAGGTGCTTAACACGTTTTATTAGTGAACATTGTAGGTAATTAGTTTTTGATCTGAAAAATTTTAACCCCATTAATTGGTCCAACTGTTTATCTCCGGAATTATATTACCACAAGGCGCAAGTAACCACGCGATTTTTGCTATCTTATGCGGTACATGTGAAGTAATAACACTTCACTAATTTAGTCCCGTCCCAGGTAGATAAACTGCGCTCATCACTGGCGAGTAGCTGAGCACCCGATTTGCGATACCTTATGTCCTCAACTCCAGAGCAAGTGGCGGACATGGCAACCTACCTCCAGATCTGGCATAATCGCGCTGGGGGAGAATTCCAGCTCAGCCAACGAGTGGATCGATGGAGAAACGAACAGTGGACGCAGACAAGCGGACAGGCGTATTGGGGAAAACACACAGGCACTCCTAAGGGCACGTGTGACCTAGCCTCGCAGCTTGGGCAGTAAGTAGCCGTCATGCCAACAGAAATTGATTGTTACGCAGTCTAGTTGAAGCGGAACCAAATAAGACAGCGTCAAGCTTGGGATGAAATCAATGTTATACTGCCTCACAATTGTGGACGGCTAACGTTGCTCTCAACAGTTGTCAGAGCAGGATGGGAGGGTGTTCGCACCAGCCTCCCAGACAAGTCATTGGGGTGTTTCTCAGTCACACTTTCGCCATTTAGAACACCAAAGTAGTGAGCAATAAGACAGAATCGGATGAAAATAAAAGACAGTCGTATCAGAACTCCAGATGTTTGCTGTTCTGCAGCCGTGCGTCGGTTGGTTCAACAATAGAAGCGCATTTTATTCTTTTTTCACTTCTCCTAAGTGCCCTTAGCTGAGCATTGAGTGTATCTGTGCTGTACAGTTACGCCACCGTAGAAAGTAATCATCGGGTTTTTCTTAGTGACATGCAGATGGTAAGGGCGTTTGGGAAACGTCAACATGTGCATTCTATGGTTATTTCCCGAACCATTCCGCATGCCGCATTCGTGTACAGTAGTGTTTCTTGACGCAGCAGGAGATGGGGTTGAAACGATATACGACACACTGGTCAATGTAAAACGAATCAATCCTTGGCCATTTTAAATGTTCAAATTGACAAGTTTCTGCTGTGGACTCTATTGCCTGGAGGACATGTACGAAAGTTCTTCAGGACAGAACTTGGACGTTTATGTGTGCAAAAGGCTGTGCAGATAAGTGGCACAAGCGCATCGAGTAAACGTCCAATTTTGATACTGCTTAGGTACAAGGCACGATATGCATGAAGCATACAGCCACTAAGCTAGTTGAGCCCCAATCACGGTTATTTCAAAGAACCAGCTCCCATTATATGGAAGCATGGCATTATCAGTGTAGTTTTTAAAGGGGGTATCTGTTCAAATCCTAGAAGCACAGTTTGTTAAAGCACCAGATAAAATATTTCATGTAAATGTATCTGGGTTTAAATAGTTTTTGGTCCCACTTGATAATAAATATTTTCCAATAGTTTATAACCCACCAACTTATTTTAACCTATCTTGCATTGTATATATTTCTCCAACTCCCTTTCTAATACGTGGTGAATCTTTGGTGGGATTTGTCAACTTTTGTAGCTTGAGCTATTACTGTCATCGTGGATAACCAGTGTCCACCAATTTACTTAGCACCACTTTCTGTAGGCGTTATCTTCTATGGTAGATATTCCGCACACTGTAGAATAAGACATTGCAACCCCAGTCCAACGACGCTTCAGCTGAGTTGTACTACAATCATTTATGCCTTTGCTATCTGGTGGCTACAGTTAGATTCCCGTTTCAAAGGACCTCCTCTTCACGTGACCTAAAGTACCAAGGCGGGATAGTATGATACTGCCAAATTGAACTCTGCAGTAAAATTCCCTGTCTAATCAGCCGAGTTAAAAGGATCCACAACAATTTCTCCGTTCTATACCTACATTCTGTCAGAGTCGAAAATATGCGCACCGGTTAAAGCTCTCGAATACCTCTAATATGTTCTGCAATTGCAACTTCCCGGTCAATTTCCATGTTTTCAGGCACCTTAGTCGCACCGAACGATATAATTCCATCTTTTTATCACCTATGCTCAGAAACTTTAAACATTGGTAATTTTCTGTCGAAAATGTTATGTAACTGCTGCTAATCGAGTAGCTTTGTGAAGTTAGGAAATAGAAACCCTATTTTGCTTCCATTGTTTTGGTAACGCATATTCACAGATAGAGCTGTTGTACGGGATCTGTTGAAGTGTGTACGCGGTAAAATGTGTCAGCTACAATTGCAGCTTCTGTCAGCTAAAGACCATTCGGGTTCCGCATGTTATTTTTTAATCCACCGTAGATGCCCAGAGCACTGGCCTGATTGAACAATGAAACCATTTCACCATTGTAAATTGACAGCAGATCTACTTACATAACGTCCGTTGTTGGATGTAACGGAGTTTGCTGGCTGTACGATAGGCTGCGAACCGTATTGAATCGAACTGTCGCATTTCTAAAATGTAAAATAGAAAAAACGTGACTAAGCAAAAATCGATGTACCCACTCTTTTGCAAAAAGTATACTCCCTAACAATGCACAAACACTGTAAAGTCTTTACAGCCCACTTAGTGATAGAATGAAAAGAGATTGATTATTGTGCGGTTTAACAGAGAATTCTCACATTTTGCAGTGTTAGTTAATCAGGAGAAGAAGTGGTAGTATGCAAACTCCGTTAAAAGATAAGGATGCAGTACATAACTAAGGAAGACTGCAACATTCCATTTTCCGTAGTTAGACGTGTCACTGCCCTGGATTGGATTACAAGTATCAATAAAGTGGTTGCAATGCAATTGGTTTGGGTTTCCATGCCCTCTAGACGTAGAAGAAAGCGCATGTTTTCAGGAGGACATCTAGTGGGGTTAAAGGGAATGTCTTAGCATAGAGCCATTCCTCAAGCTTGGAAAGGTGAGCCTAGGCTCCGAATGCAATGCGTATTCCTCGAATCTCTACATTGGATAGGTAAATGTAACCGGTTGATAAGTTCAAAGCACGCTTCCGTGATATTCCATCTGAATCCTTTGGCATGTAGTTCACATATTGGGGCAGAAACAATGACTGGTATTTCCGAATCGAGGAATGGCAAGTTTACCAAGCAATGAGGAAGGATGCCGTTAGTTAGCTGTGCTCGATTTCAAATGGCGTTATATTTAACGATAACTAGCGTGCAAAGTCATTGAATGAATGGCCCTTGTACAAGTTGAAGTTCACATGTCCGTTTCCTTGAAGTTGCTGTTATTCTGCACACTAACTTTCCGTTGCTTTGTTAAAGCCCATCACAGTGATACAGTGTCACCGCAACTGGTTGCATGTGGCACAGTGAAGTTGCGGTCTCACGACAATGACAGGTGTAAATGGAAACCTCGACCCTCTGCTTGTAGTATACCGAGTGATTAGGTAGTGAAGTCCCAACTGTTGGAATTTGTCTCTTTCAGACTTAACACTAGATGAAGTTACCACGCTCATTTTACTGTCTGACGCAGTCTAATTGGGCTGACTGCGAATGTGATTGATGCGCGCAATTCTCGGCATTGGGGCGTTACACTGCTAAGGCCGATTTCGTTGCACACGCTCGAAAAGACCGGTGATTTACGGCTGACATTTTGCGACTGAATAACGTCGCATGAAATGAACTAAGTAAAGTGTACGAGTTCAACAAGATTTGCAATCAGCTGGTATATTTATTGGGCAACCTTTCGCTTTTAACACAATTGCTTCGTCGGGCCAGGCGTACGCAATTTTTAGCAAATTGGGACGATAACCGCGATACTCGAGACTTGAGCCAAGATGTTATTACAATCACAGTCAGTGCACATCAGGCAGCTTGTTTGTTTTACATCCAATCATAGCGGCAACTGATTTTCATAATACAACCTAACTACTGCTTGTTTATTTGTTTCCTCCTCCCATAAAATCCGTACATACAGGCTTTATGTAACATGAGTACAAAAGACGCATTCTGACGATTTCCTGACGCAATCTAATTATCCCCAACTACTGTGCTGGCGTACAAAATGCGCAAACAATTCTCACCAGGAGCCAATATTCTGAAGTTAGCTGTCACTGCCTTTTTCAGTCCGGTTAACCAGACCTCGCTACAGCGTTTGTTTTGTTGGCAGTCACTTCTTTTAAATACGTACTCTGATGTCCCCTAGACGTTTGGCATATGTGGTTCCTCACTGGTACTGTAACAGCAAGCCGTTATCGGGGGATAATGAGAACATCACTGATACACACCGACTACCCACTTACAGCTGAGCGTCAACCGGCTAACTGCTCCCTCAGCCAAATTTATCTCACTGTTGCTCATATCGCAACCGACTATTGGAGTCTCTTCGCACCGGACAAAGATGTACACTACGGATACGTTGGTGGTGATGTGCTATATAGCTGAATAAAGTACCATACATCCAATCAGTCAGTTTAGTAGTACTAAGTGGTTTTGCGTACATTTCGTGGTTGTTACTCCGTCAAACGCTTCAATGATCCCATCATCGTACTTGCGTTTTAAAAGTACTTCATTTTGAAGTAAGGTTGTGTAGAGAGGAGTTTTGAAACTGATTTGTTGTACACAGCGCTCGGTAACATGTACTTTATGGTTCAAAATAGGTCCATTGTCAGTGCGCTTACCATTTTACCTGAAAACCGCATTAAACTAGTCACATTATTCAAACAAATCACATCATCCTTTTCTTACCTATCCGCCTCATGCTATCGTTTCCAGCTTGCAGTAGCTCAAGTGCAAGGTTCTTCGTCTGTTCGGGATATACGATTACCTACTTAGTCGGATCGTAGCAATCGACTAAAAGGCTACAGCAATGAAAAGAAAGAACTACGGCGTGTATAAAAGTTACTGGTGCGGATGTCTGGTTTGTGGAGGCCTTTGATCAAGATTGGTAATTTTCAATCTTGCGGTGAAGCCACCAGTTAGTACTATGTGCTAAAATTAGAATAATGAGGAATGCTATCCACCATAGACAAGAATTATCGGTATGACAGATGTGTCATTCAAAAGGAAAGACTAAAGTCTTGAAGACATCGAAGTGTCGGGGTTCTACTTTGAGCTCAGGCAATCTCTATCTGAAGAGTTCAAATCAGGACCAAATTGTTGGTGGAGTGTAGTATTGAGGAAGAGCAGTTCCGAAAACCTTCACATCTGGGTGTTCACTTCTGGAAAACTCTGGTATACTTTAAACTTTTTCTGATGGTGCCACGATAATTTAACTATACTTGGCATGAAGCCAGGCAGTTAATAATGCTTTCTTCCACCGTTGCTGAGTCTGCTTTCAAAGACTACCTAGGGTGAAAAGTGGAAAAGGATTTGGATGCAGAAACCTTATTCCACCCTACTATTTGTTAACATCGCCGATGTTTAGCTCAAAAGTGGATGTTTGTTTGTATTTTTCGACCAATTTTCTTGTGCTGGAACCTGTAATTCAGGATCACCTAGCAACATAAATTTTAGGGCATAATGGATAGCTTTGGCGCTAGTGTTAAACGTTTTATTAGTCGACGGTGCACGGCACAATCCACCTGAGTGGACTGATCAATTAGTACATCGAGATCGCGTAAAATAGTTGCTTGTTCATGTTTGGTACGACTGGTCCCAAATGGGTTTTTGAATTGAATGGCAGTTTGATAGTGTTAGAGAGAGTAAAAAGTGGGAACAATAGCACGAGCAGATTTAGCAAAATGTTCAAGTAAATTAATAGAGCCATCCATGGAACTGTCCCCAGGGGACCTGCTTCCATGCAGGTTACTCTCTCGATGGGTTTCACCCGTACTTCCATGCTCACACTGGCCATATGTCGGTGTGGCAAAATTGCAAGTAAACCATCAACGGTTTCACAAATATTTGTTATATGGTCTGGATTAGACTAGGATACCGAAACAGCTGCTTTATGACCAACTGGGTGTAGGGAAACGGCACGTGGGAAATCCGAAGTTCCGTTACCAGGACATAATCAAAGTAAGCCTATCAGGTCCTAATGTTGATTCCAGGTCATAGGAATCGAGGCCGGTTGATCGGCGTGCATGGCGTGATCTGATTATGAAGGCAGTTGCTGTGGTGCACGAGAAAACCCTCGTGCATGCAGTGAAGAAGCGCCATTCGCGGAAGCGACAGGCGCCGATGGGGTGTACTCCATCGACTTGTAGCATATGGTGCTGTAGCACGTTCGGTCGCGAGTGCTTGTTTCAGGCAGGTTTACTGTGCGAGGAGCGAGGCCACTCGGGTCCAGCATCGAAAGGATGACGAGTCCTGCTGAGAAAGTAAACTGAACCGCCGCAGCATTTGTAGGTACACTGCATTCGATTTATTAAAGGTGTGCCTGCGTACTGTGGTGTTTGGTTTGCTACCTTGTCTTTTAGTTATTTTGTTACCTCATTTTAATGTGTACCTGAATAATCTATTAAATGGCACATTTCGCTTAAAGTAGAGGTAGTTAACTTCGCTTATTTTCCCCCTAGAAATATGTGTCCTGACTCCTTTTGCCGCCATCTGCCATTTCTCGTGGCTATGTTGATAACCCATTTATATCATGGGCTAATTTAGCAGCATATCCGTATGGTGTATTCGATCTACTGTATACAACAGTTTATTTCATGTGACTGGTTGTTGCTTGACATCCCCGGTGTGGCTGCGCTTGATGTGCATGTTGGCAAGGTGCCTACCTGTCTATTACCTACCACCTGGTCTATACTGGCTCCAGGAGATAGTTGGCCGTTGCTGTAGGGGAAGGGGTTCATGATCCTCGTGGCCGTGTTAGGCTAGAACATTGGTTCCATCCACTCCGTTTGGAGCGGGCTACGATCCAACCACCGGCTTGTTTGCAAATGATTCCCAAATACATCGTGCTTGTGTTTGTCTGTGGAGGAGTGTGAGCAGGCTCCGTTGATGAAACGTGGCTCCCATCCGCATTCCTCTCGGTCTTATTCCTTTGGGTTTATACTGGATATGGGGTTGGTAGCTGGAGCTGTGGGTGGAGCAGCTCCAGCTATCCATGGTCCCTCTGTAGGCGCAAGCGTCCTGTGGCTGTCCCCGTGAAGGCCACAGTGACAGGAAAATCCGGATACGGATGCCGCTAACCATTTATGCATGCAGTATGGGCAATGAAGCCTCAGCCCGATACGTCATGCTGATCATTCACATATGGCACTTTTTGTTATTTGCCAGCGAGTCAGTGGCAGTGTGCTTTGCATGCGTATGAATTTATTTTTGTCGTGGAACCTGTAATCCGTCACTCGCGGCCAACAGTGAAAGAAGAAAGAATATAAGTTATGATTAATCAAAGGCATAATAATGTTTACAATCTCCTGACAATAGGCCAAGCACAATTTGGTGTTAACTCATTGCGAACAACGACGACCATGCAGAGATTTCAGCTTGAAAGACGCAATTCATCTCCGAGACAGTGCATGAGAGGAAAAGACAGTGTAAGAATGATATGAAAAGAT